ACTGTCTTCTGCCCTTTGTTGTAGATCTTTGCTGTAGTTATAACCTTCACACGTACTGAAGTTCAGGTGGAGCTCTACAGAGTTTGGACTTATCCAGCTGAGTCTGGCTTAGGTCTGGCTGCTGTGCTCAGCTCCTTTCCGCTGCGGACCTGGGCTAGGACTGGGTCTGGGTGTTCCCGGAAGTCAGCAGAATTTCCTACTGGGCGGGAGGGGTGGGGGAGGTATGGCGGAGTGGTGGGGGGCAGCCCGAGGGGGTGTGAGAGGGTCCGGCCCACGCTGTGCCTGGGCTGGGACTGGTCCCGCCGGTGCAGGTGAGCAGGAAGGTCTCCACACACTCACCGGACCTGGGCTAGGAGTCTGGAAGCCTGATTTTTAAAAGTTCTTTGTTTGTTCTAGCTAGGAGTCTTTTGTCTGAAGGATAGTCCACTATAATTTTTTCCCACTTTGTGGGTTTTTATTTTACTCTCTTGATGATTTCTTTCGACATGCAGAAACTTTTAAAAAAAGATGAGATCGCAATTGTTGACCTTTGAAATATTTCCCATGCAGTTTGATTTTTGTTCATGAATGCTCTGCCTACCACTATGTCCTTAAGATTTGTACCTACTTTCTCCTCCAGAAGATGTAGTGTTTCAGTTTTAGAACCTATGATTTTAGATTTAAGATCTTGAGGGAAAAAACTTTTGAAGTGGTTCAGTCTAACTGATCAGGTAAGCCATCTGAAGTAGATTTCTTTGTCTGGTATTTCCAGCAAACATGGGGTCAGATCCTATGAGTCCAAACATCTCCACTGTTGACAGGACCATAGTCAGTTACTAAAGCCACATTCATTTCATTCTGCTAAACTTTTGAAGCTAGACCAGGAATGGTCATCTTCCAGAAGAAGTGGAATCGTTCTCTAAACAATGGGATGCATTGCTATGGGATTCTTCCTATCTGAAACATTTACTGAGACCTTGGGTTCTGTGAAGCCATTGCATGGTTTCTTTGAGAGTTCTTTTACTCATAGCTCTCTTATTTTGGGAGAATGCATTTCTAGCCTGAACATTCACTACAATGAATGAAAGAACCAAAACAAAGCAGTCACTCACTGTGCTGTACTAGACAGCTGAGCAACTCTCTTTTAGGTGCATGAATAGAGTTATAAAAGCATTTTTTTCCCTTCATCCTTCCCTCACCTTTTAAAATCACTTGGCAGGCCTGGGGAGATAGCTCAGTGGGCTAAGTACCTGCCTGGTAAACACAAGGATCTGGGTTGGATCCCCAGTAGTGAAGGCTGTGCTGGCCCTGCCCCCCAGGAGCAACGAGCCTGCCAAACCAGACGTGGTACTGCACACCAGTAATCCCAGCTCTGGGAAGGCTGAGACGGGAGGATCACTACAAATCTGAGCTGCATAGCGAGATCCTATACCAAATAAATAGAAGATTAAAAATATTTTTAGAGACGCACTGGGCAAAAGATGGGCAGGATGACCAGGAGAGGTTGCTGGGTTGTTCCAGCCACTGCCAGCTGCTTTGCTTGGGTACTTCACTTAGTCTCTACTTAATACTTGGGAGTATGGAATTTTTATTTCTAGATGTGAAGCAAAGGAAACTTAGTAGTTGGATAACTTGTCTGCAGTCACATAAATGACATGTTCTGGAGACAGAATCAAAAGCATAGTTCTTTTGGATACTAAAGTGGTTGTTTCCTTTTAATATGACTGCATATTGGAGTCTGGAGAGTTCTAAAAATACTATTTTTCTTGTCCCTTCATTGGAGCAGTTAGATGTCTGGAGCTGGATCCTGATTAGCAGCATGTGTTTAACGCTCCCTTGGTGCTTCTAATGCACAGCTAGGCTTGAGATCACAGCTGGATGCACACTAGGCTGTAGCTTTCTTACACGCCATGCCATTAACCCTGTATACCATAGCTTCATTCCTATCATCTGCTCCTCTGTGTTTTATTTCTCCTTCCAAAGTCAGAGAGCGCGTGGCTGCCCATCTCTATCAGAGCTGGCATTCCGAACCAGATTCCAAGGGCTGCATTCATGTCCATGTTCATTCTGGAAGTGGATCAGTTCATCCTGACCTCTTTGACCACCTCTGTTCTGGACTGCGAAGAGGACGAGACCCCTAAACCATTGCTGGTGTTCAACATCACAAAAGCCCCCCTCCAGGGCTATGTCACTCACCTCCTGGATCACACTCAACCTATTTCCTCATTTAGCTGGAAAGACCTCAGTGACCTGCAAATTGCTTATCAGCCACCAAACAACAGCCACTCAGAGAGGAGACATTATGAGGTAAGAAGAAGACAGGCAAAGCATCCAGCCTGGTGGGTACTCACAAAGCCACTTAAGTGGATAATTTCATTAACTCTCAGGTTCAGGTTCCTTTGCACATCTGTTGCTTCAGAAGAGAATCATTTACTGTGAATCAGGATGCAAGCAAAAACCAGGAAAGCCAGGCAGGTCAAACAAATCAGCAGACCTCACAGAGAGGCTGTGGTGTGACGAACTGAAGGAGCCACAGTGTCACCAAGTAGCTGTGGCTCAGCTCCAGAGCCTCAGCATCACATGGAAACTCGGGTACCCAGGTTGCTGTAGCTGTCGTTTGTCATTTAATATTTTTTAAAAATTGTTTTTTAACTTTTAAATTTAAAAAATATAATTTAAAATTATAAAATATATTGGCCAACTCTAAAAATGTTTTTGGAGGGCCACTTTTGGCTCAGGCTTTCTAGTTTGGTGCCTGCTGTCCTTCCACAACCTTCCACACATAGAGTATTGATGTGAGAGGAGTTTGTTCATGACCTCTTGTTGACAAAGTCTTTTGTTCCTTTTTGTTTGTGGGAGCTTTTTATGGGGGGCACTTGATTTTTAATTACAACACCAAGGTGGGGAGGAGATTCCATAGTCTCAATGGGAACTGATTTCACTGACAGGCTTTCCTGCAGGGAGTCCTCCTTCTCCCTGATTCAAACCTGCTCTGCGCTAGGTTCACGTTTCCTCTTGCTTTGCACGTGACAATGGGGCCAGAGAGGAGCTGCTTCCAGGCCTGCCCTGCACATAATGACACTTCACATCTTTAAGGCCCCACCAGCAAGTTGATTCGAACAGGATGGAAAACTTAAATGAGCAGATTGATGTAGTGTGGAGTTCAGGTTTATTAAGGAAAATGAGTGTCCCTGGGGGTTGGCAAACTGTCCTCTGTGTAATTTAGGCATTCCAGCGTTTAGCCTCACAGGCAGTCAAGAGCCTTCAGACTAGAAATGCTTCACTCTGCCCTGTGCTTTTATTCCCTCCTCGTGGTGCAGTACCAATGTGGCAGCTGGCTTTCCTTTCCTTCTGTCTTCTCTCTCTGCCTTTTCCTATTATTAGGAGGGAATTTTTCATTTTATGACTACTGTTACCTTGAGCTCACCCATACAGCATTGCTATTTTAGCTGTTTCCTGGGAGTATTTTCTGCAATTGTATAATGGAATTGTAAAGAAGAACCTTCGGGCTATGTGATTTTGTTGCTGTTGTTGTTTTTAGAAGGTAACTCAATATTCTCAGTGGAGAGTATATACTTTTTAAGCATGTAGGTGAAAGACCTGGCCTGTGGCCCAACCTAATGTGTATTTTACATTACAACTCCAAGAAAAGCATCTCTTGCCTCCTTCAAGTTTCATTTTTATTTTATTTATTTATTTTTTTATGTATTTGGTACAGGGTCTGCAGGGTGTTCAGGGTCTCACTATGTAGATCTGACTCTCAGCGATCCTCTTATTTTCAGCCTCCCAAGTGTTGGGATTACGGGCACTAGCCACCACACCCAGTCTCAATTGCCTTCTCAGTGTGTCCTGGGGACGGCTTTGGCACGGCATACCAGGGATCGAACCCTGGTCACTGTGCTGTGCCTAAGCAGGTGCTTTAGTTCGCTGAGCTGTCTGGCTGGCCCCTTGAGTTTCATTTGTAGTTTACTACTTTGCCACACTGTTTCTCTTCTTATTTAATATTTGTAGGTACATGGCAATCTGGTTTTTCTCCCATCCTTTCAAGTAGACTTCTTCAGAAGCAAGCAAGGTGCTTTGCATGTATGTATTATATCTCTGTCAATATCTGGTATAATACATACATAGCATGCAATAAAGCTCAAATCTTACCATGTAGCCTCAACTTATTAGTTATAGATTTCATGAGAACAAAAAAAAGTTCTAGATATTTAAAAATATATCGGCCATTTTGTGAAGAGACGGAGACTGAGCGGTCGCTGCCGCGTTGCTGACCTCGAGCAGCAGTCAACTGCACGTAGAACCTGGGAGCAGGGGATTCGGAATCGAATCTCTTCTCTCATCTCTCCTGTGAGATTTTTTTGATCTTCAGCTACAGTTTTTGTCACTGTAAGCAACTTTATCATCAAACACAATGGCTAGCAATGTTACCAACAAGACAGATCCTTGCTCCATGAATTCCCGTGTGTTCATTGGGAATCTGAACACTCTGGTGGTGAAGAAATCTGATGTGGAGGCCATCTTCTCGAAGTATGGCAAAATTGTGGGTTGCTCCGTTCATAAGGGCTTTGCCTTTGTCCAGTATGTTAATGAGAGAAATGCTCGGGCTGCTGTAGCTGGAGAGGATGGCAGAATGATTGCTGGCCAGGTTTTAAATATTAATCTGGCTGCAGAGCCAAAACTGAACAGAGGAAAAGCAGGTGTGAAACGATCTGCAGCGGAGATGTACGGGTCAGCACCAGAACACCCTTCTCCGTCCCCTCTACTCAGCTCCTCTTTTGACTTGGACTATGACTTTCAACGTGATTATTATGACAGGATGTACAGTTACCCAGCACGTGCTCCTCCACCTCCTCCTATTGCTCGGGCTGTAGTGCCCTCGAAATGCCAGCGTGTATCAGGAAACACCTCCCAAAGAGGCAAAAGTGGCTTCAATTCTAAGAGTGGCCAGCGTGGATCTTCATCCAAGTCTGGAAAGTTGAAAGGTGATGATCTTCAGGCCATTAAGAAGGAGTTGACCCAGATAAAACAAAAAGTGGATTCTTTACTGGAAAGCCTAGAAAAAATTGAAAAGGAACAGAGCAAACAAGCAGTGGAGATGAAGAATGATAAGACCGAAGAGGAGCAGACCAGCACCTCCCAAAAGAAAGATGAGACTAATGTGAAGATGGAATCTGAGGGTGCTGCAGATGATTCTGCTGAGGAGGGGGATCTACTGGATGATGATGAAAATGAAGATCGGGCGGAGGACCAGCTGGAGTTGATCAAGGATGATGAAAAAGAGGCTGAGGAAGGAGAGGATGACAGAGACAGCGTCAATGGCGAGGATGACTCTTAAGCACATAGTTTGGTTTAGAAGTCTTGTCCCATTATTTCTTTATCTAGGCGCTTGTCTAAGATCAAAATTTCACCAGATCCTCTCCCCTAGTATCTTCAGCACATGCTCACTGTTCTCCCTGTGTCCTACCATGTTCATAATTGCCCTGCGCCTAGTACCATTTTTACTTCCTCTGATGCTCCTAGTAGTTTTGTTAAGTCTTCTCCTGTAATTTTTGCTTTTTAATTTTGATACCTCTTTATGACTTAACAATAAAAAGGTCGTATGGTTTTTTTAAAAAATATATATCTATATCTATATCTATATCTATATCTATCTATCTATCTATCTATCTATCTAGCAGCATAGATGCTTTTAAACAAGAGTGCCTTTCAGTCAGCACCACTGATATTTTGGGTCACATAATGCTTTGTGGTGGGAGTGGTCCTCTGAGTGGTTGGATGTTTGCATCCCTGGCTCTATGCACAACTGCCAACAGATATTTTGTGAAACCAAAAATGTCCCTAGCAGCCCCACGCACTCCCAGGTGAGATGGGAGCATGTGCACCCTTGAGAGACTCTGGTGCAAAGCCTCTCCCTCACAGAGGCCTGAGTGCACTAGGGCTGTGGTAAAATAGTGCTTGCAGATGAAGGGACACTGCTCCACCATGGCTGACAACTTCAGATTAATAAATTCTTTAGTGGAGAAAAAAAACTTCGGAAGGATCAGAGTATAGAACCTGAGGAGAAGGGAGGGTGGAGAGAGGCTGGCTAATGAATATGAGGGCCAGGTGGGCAGAGGGGGGTGTCTCTAATGTTCTAGTTAGCATAATAAAGTAACCATGGCTACAAGCTTTCATTATGTACTTCAGAATGCCTAATAGAGAGGATTTTTCAAAGTTTCAAACATGGAAATGATAGCCATTGGGGGATACGCGTGTGCCAGTTGTGCTGATTGGGTCATCGCACTCTGTACGAACGTGTTGAAATGCCATGTTGGTCCCTATAAACATGTGCAATTATGAGCCAACTTTAGGTACTTTTTTTTTTTTTTTTTTTTTTTTTTTGTGGAACCAGGGATTGAACTCAGGCCCTTGTGCTTGCCAGGGAAGCACTTATTCCACTGAGCCATCTCCCCGGCCCTTTTGCTTGTGTTTTAAAGGCATATACCACATCAGGGCAGTTATAATTCATAGAAGCTTATACTTGATGAA